AAATATAAGATTCTCAAAATGTAACAGTCACCCTTTAGCTCGAGGATCAGGACATGTAATAGAGTATCCATTTTATTATGTTTGTGTTTTATAACTCAATTAACTCCTATGTCAACAGCAAGTTAATCGGAGGATAAAGATGAACTGTGAGAATTAAGCACATGATTCCGATGCCTTTTTAGAAGTTTACAAGAATTGTCTGTGCCGAGATTTAACTCGTCTACAAACAAGCAAGTGTTTCTACAAGGCATCCAACCATGGCATTAATGATCCATTCTTTGAATAAAGTGTGATGATTATGGGGATTGAAAGGTTGTCATGAAAATCTAGTTGCGGTACTTGTATTGAACCAATGAGCCTTTCTATGCAGAAGTCATCCGTATCATAGATGGAGCCCTTGGTTATATAAAGTACCTCAACTTTGCTAGGTACATTCAATTGCCCAACGAATAGGTGGAGTATAAAGCATTAAAGCATGAAGAAGTTGCACAAACATAACTTTCGGATAATCTTTAAATATTCATCACCTCTTACTAAAGAGTGAATGAAGAACTACTCACTTTTCATGCCCTTGGCAAAGCTAGAAAAGTGAGTGTTACTCATTCCTCTAAGTAGAGAAGCTACTAAGTAAAGCAAACTAAACAAAGAGCTTATCATCAATGAAGAATAAGTGAATCACTTTCTACCCTCCACGGCTTTGGTAAAGCTATAGAAAAGTGGAAGAGTTTCACTCTTCTAAGAAAGAAGGATGCTCAAGCAATGGAAGTGAAATACATGCACCATAAAAGTAGAAGAAATCTAGTTGCTTTTGGAGGGTTTCCACCACAACCAAAAGACGAACTACCTCTCTTGATACTTTGTAAATAAAAACAAGTACAACTACAAGGGGAGTCTAAACCTCCATCATGGTTGTCACAACATAAATGTAGAGACTTAGCAAAAGTAAATGAAAAACTTCAACTACAAGGGGAGTCCAAGCGTCCATCATGATTGATATAAATTTAAAATGAAAACATAAACATGAAGTTTTCAAAAACTAGATTACCAAAACACTCTTACTTTACAAGAACAAAGATTGCTCCCCCTTTTCTCTACAAGAGGAAGAATGTCCTTTAAGCTCCCAACATTGGAGTATTTATAGGCAAGGAAGGGGAGGGGGTATGAGATAAGAGAGGATGAGTGAATAGTATTTGTCGCCCATGGGAATCAATTATTGTGCAGGCAGTCTACAGAGGACGTCTGAACGTGATCTGGCATTCGAACGTTAAGTCTATATTTTCTTCAAGGACGTTCAAACGTGAAATTACGTTCGAACATTGTCTATGTCTTTGCTTTGAGGGCGTTCGAACGCCAGATATAGTCTAATTTCTTCCACTCAAGTGCCCTGTGATCTCTGACTTGGTCACTTCCATATGTCTTGAACAACCTTGACTTTACACTCAGCAACTTGGTCCTCAGTCACTCAAGACAACGTTCAAACGTGGAGTGACGTTCGAATGTTGTACTCAAGTACTTTTGGTTCTTCTTTCTTTACTGCATCATGCTAGGTTCCAATGGTGTAGTCTCAGGATTCCAGAAGATGTTCGAACGTTATTTGGCGTTCAAACGTGGTACTCAAGTACCTCAACCTTTTCTCTTTTTTGACTGCAACACGCTATGACTCAGCAGTTGGTCTTGGCAGGGTTTCAGAGGACATTCGAACGTTCTTGCTTTGTTCCAACCTTCTGTAATTTTGTTCCCCATTGTGCTGGTGTTACATTCAAGTGTGATTTTTGTTGTTCTTGAGTCTTTGTTCACTTTAGGACCTGAAATGTCATTACTTAAACTCCATCAAAGCACAATTAGTCCAAAAAGGCATAGTAAAAACTATTAACTTTATGCACGAATCACACCCCCCCAACCTATACATTTGAGCCCAGACAAAAAGCGCTCTTGTATAATTCTCTCCTCTCAATTTTTCAAGGAAAACTTTGATCGAGATGCAATGACCCCTACATTGTCAAGGTAGCCTACCCACATGAAGCCGTGGAGATAGAAAACCCCAAGGATGGTAAAACATTCAAGGTCAATTGTCAAATACTTAAACCATTCTTTGAGGGTTTTGAACTTCAAGAAATGGAGAAGGAGTTAGTGGATCCAGTCTATACGGATGTTGTTCAGGCATTATTGTTCAAGTAGATATTAATGTATAGTTGTTTTTCTATTCTACTTTATTTTGCAAGTAAATTGTTCACTCACTTTCAATTGTAAATGGTGTTTTTTTCTTTGTGAGTCCAGCTAGCGATGTTTTTGTTAAAGCTCATTGTGAGGTGTTCTCTTACCCTTCTTGTTTTTTAATTTCTATCATCTCATTGCATGTCTTTTTGTTGCATTAATGATAATACGTAGTTCAAGTTGGGGGTGATACACCAATTTTTTGTTGATAATACTATTTTTGTGGTGAGATGCACCATTTACAAACTTTACCATTTTTTGTATAGAATAGTTGGAAATGTGAAAAATTTTGAAAATTTTTGTGAAAACTATTTGAATGTTGAACAATATTCCCTAGTCTAATTGTTATGGGATCTGTGACTGCTTGAGCTTCATTTTGAACTTTGAACACATAAGCACGCCATAGAAGTTTATTTTATGCCTGATTATTACATACGTGTTTTCTTTCGAACTCAACCATAGTGCATCTTGAATGTGTAATTTTGGTAATTTACTGATTGGATCCATATTTTAGAGCTTGACATAAATAGTGGAGATGCAGTAAGTACTCATGTGAACTCTAGTGTCAATCCTTGATTGAGAGCACTTACATTTACTCGAAGGAAAACTTTTTCAAATTCAAAATCTATTCAATAGTCTCATTATCCTTGATTTGGTTAGATTGCATATGGATAGTTGATTGATTTGTCTAAAAATGTCAATATGCCTCCCCATTCTTATCTAGAGATGATCTTAGACCATCTTTGACATGTATTGAGTCTTAGCCTTTTCTTGGAAAAAATATGTTATCCCTAGTGTCATGATTAAGCCTTAATTGAAAATTCATTTCCACACCACATATTTTATCGAGTCAGTACATAATGATTACCACACCTTTGTTGTTCCGAGACTGATTGTGATTAATCATGAAGAAAGAAAAATGTGGTAAGGAAACCCAAAAAGGGATGAATAGCGCTAAATTCAAATTTTGAATGAAAAAGAAGAGAAAAATCCAAGAAAAGGGAGAAATGGGGGTTGAAAAATAAAAGAAATGAAAAAAAAACAAAGAAGGAAAATGAGACATAAAAGTTGAAGTGAAGGTGTAAAACTGAAAATTTCACAAACAAACGATTTTTGATAATAAAGGTCATGTCCTTGAAATAACCCTTTTTGTTTCCCTCTACCCCTCATTTTTACTTAACCCAAATATCACTCCAATGCCTCATTACGACCCATAAAAGCCCTAAATGATACAGAGAAATCATGGCAAAAACACACCTTAATTGAAAAGAAAAGTTGGTTTTGCTATCTATTGCTCTAACATTCCATTCATGAGATAATATCAATGTCATTTCAATTGTTATGCATGCACGTCATTTTTGAATTATATGTGAGTATATTCAGTTTGTGCGCAAGATTCCATATCACATATACACATTGAGAGTATGCCAGGATAATCATTGAGTTATTCATTTTTTAGTGAAACCCTTGGTGAGAATTGCATCAAAGCTAAATTTGGTTAGCCAAATAAATGTGGATTCTATTGAGTAAAGGTTTAAATTGCATATTCATTTCACACGCACATGAGTTTTGAAAGGAAATATGTAGGTGTATACTTCAAAATAGCATTTAAAGATATGATGAAATTCATGGGTGATTAGTTCGGGTGTTTGAAAAAAGTTATTTTTGACAACCCAAAGCTATGGATAAGGAAATACGTCTCAAATGTTAGAGATGTGGAAGAATTTGAAAAATCTTTAACTTTATTTATTGCCTTACTTAATGGGTGTTCATTTTGCTTAATTTAGAATTCTATGACATGTGTTTTGAAAGCATCAAAACTTAAATCACATCGCAATTTTGTAAATGAATTGGCTTTAACGTCAAGAGACTACATGGAGTCTAACGACTGGAGTATGGAGAGGTGGGGTTGGTTTGTGTATTTATGATTCATTAGTTTTTAAGAAGAAAGCCCAACAGATACTTATTTTAAACCCGATTTAACCCATAAATTTAAATTAAATAATAATACCCAACCCATTTTTAACTTAGATTAATAAAAACAGGTATCCAACCCATTAATTTATGGGCGAATTGAGCGGGTTAGTGGGTTTGGAGCAAGAATTGCCACTACTCTGCTCTATCATGTGACATACACCATCATTATTAAAGACAACTTAAATGTTTATATTTCAAACTACAATTTAATAAAAAAAAATGTTAACATAAGAAATAAATTAACAAGTAATACTGAGAAAATAAAAAAAAAAAATTGTCAACCTCAAAAGTTAGCCTAGTTATAAATCAATCACCTGATAACCCGGGGTTCAAATATCTTACAACGCGTAGCCCTTTGGAGCCACCACTCATAAATTTATCTTTTTGTTTGAAGAATCGATTTTTTATGAGGTCCAACATTAATCCACTAACCCGCCCAACTGGAATTTAAAAAAAAAAAATCAAAAAATTGACGTAAATCGGTAAAAAACTTGCTAAGCTGTCGTGGGTTTGCACCATTTGGTCGGGTGAAGTCAAAGATTTGACTGATTTCACGCGCCATGACTTGGATATGTGTGAAATTTTCCGCTGCGGTGGGGTGAGTCAAAAATGTAGACCGTAAACTTAACCATGGTTTAATTCAGACACACTGTGTTGGGTTTGGATTTGAACAGCTCACACATTCACACTCCGCTCTCGCTTTCTCTACGATCCCATTCTCATCACCACCCTAGATCAGTGTTTCTCCTAATTTGTCGCAGATCAAACACATATTTCATTTCGCTCTGGTTTGTTCTCCTCTCTTTCTCTGTGTATATATGTATATTGGATTTTTCATCTTACTGTACTTCGAAAATGAAAACCTGGAAATTACAGGTTTATAGGGTTTGGAAAGCAAGGAGGTTATGCGCCTCCTATGCGTTCTTGTCTACTATTAATTTTTTTTTCTTGTCTACTATTAATGCTGGCAAATACTGACGTATTACATTACTTGTTTGTTAAATGCCAAAAAATATATAGATTACTAAAATTTGTTGCATCTTTTTGACAGTTAGCATATTAGTAGCGTTTTTTTTTGAAACCATATCATTATCGTTTACGTGATGTGTTTTTGTGCTGTGTTTTGTGGAATAACTAATTGCATATGGCATACATCAGGACTTTGGTTCAGTGAATTACTATACTGTAAAAGCAGATATTCAACATACACTTGTGAAGTATGTAGTGTGAATCTTCTTAGTATAGTGTTTGGGGATAGACTCTATTAAAGTGTGAGCAATTTTTAGGACAATCTCACCAATATAGCATTTTTCCATTAAACATGTAGACTTTGATTCAGTAATTCTCAGAATCTATTGGATAGATCATAGGTATGTTAAGATGTCTTGTGAAATTTGTCTGGAAGTTGCACTATTTCGATACCGTGTGATGTAAACATGCATCTTCTGCAATGTGGTGTTTCCAATAATGTGAAAGTTCTCCTATATCTTTATATTGCCCTTTTATCTTGTGTTTTTTAACTGGTTTTCTTGACTCAAGAATGTTTCATTAGTTTTTTAGTTCTCATTTATGAAATGAAGACATCTTCCTTCGTAACTCCATTTGGGATAATGTGATCATGTGTCATGGGGCTATATAATTCCTTGGAGGAGTAGCCAAACAGACCATAGGTGAACTAGACTAGACATGTATTTGGCTGAGGGAGGTTTTTGCCAAATTAGCTTGTCTCCTAATTTTCTCTGGCTTCCCGATTAGGTGAGCTCGAAGACGCAAGCAGATGCAACGATTAGAGAACTAAGTATTGGATAATTGAGGACTCCTAATGCCAGTTTGATCTTGATAGTACATAGTTCTTTACTTTGGACATATGGGCTCACTCTGCAGTAGACAGCAACATTTCAATCATGCTGATTCTGAAGAAAATGCACATGTAATCAATTTCTGTCTTACAACTTGCTTTCTTCTTCTCATATGGTATGCCTTAATTCTTTCATAGCCTTCATTTTTTTCTTTTCAATATTTGCATTTTCAGACTGCAGATATAGAAAGGCGGATCGAGCAAGAAGCAAAGGCCGAGAAGCATATTCAGAAACTTCTCCTACTTGGTATATGTTACTCAAGACACAATACTTATTTTATTATATTTTATGATTTTCTATTTCATCTTTTCTTGTGGATGTTCATGGAGTTCAATACACTGACTAACAATTGATAGAGTTATACACTAAAAGTTTGTTTTTTAAATGAAACTCAGTTTATTATTTAATAAAATTTTTGCATTTTTTATTGAGAATCTGTATGAGTAAAATATTTGCATTCTTAAACATATGATATGTATGTATATATTTTATTTTATATTGTAGGTAATTTGGTGTGTAGTGTTGGGTTTATACACAGAAGATCAGATTATCTAATCTTTGTATGATATAAGTAAAAGTTCTCTGTCTTAGATGGAATTGGACACACTATCACTAGTATTGTAGTGCAATTTTTTGGCATAGTCTATCTTAACTATATGAGACTGTCTGATATCTCAAATTGTTGCATTAATACACGTTGTGTATTGAATATGACCATTATTAAGGGTTTTTTTTATTGACTAAATAATAAAATAAATACTTAATGGTTATTATATTTGATTAAATTCTTAATCCTGAGATATTTAATTGGCACGTGTATATAATAATTGTTACTTTAATTCATCAAAGAGTGAGTTTCATATTTGAGTCAACAAATTCAGTGAATTGGATGATAACATTATTTGCATGTTGGAATTAACCATGTTTCAGTATTTTAATGAGTTGATGATGTCTTTTTGAGGAAGCTTGTAAGTATTGTCTATGTCAAACTCTGCAGTTGGATTTAATTATCCAACATGACACATTAGTTAAGTGGTAAAATTTGAAGGATAAAAAGGAGTCAATTAAATATAATTATCAGTGATTTAATTAATTGATGAACATTTGTAATTTTAAATGTGGGGAGATTATTCAACATATAATAATGAGAGGTTCAAAATATAATTTTGGGTTAAGCTTCGAGAGATCAATAATAAATTTTTAGTGGACTAACTTATTATTAATGGATCATAGGATGATTGTTTTGGGTTGGACATAGGATTACTAGGCCCATTGGAAGTTTGACCCGTATTTCTCCTTAGAGTCTCTACTATAGCCTATAAATAAACACATTCATTGGTTATCTTAGTCATAACCTTTACCTTCACGTTAGCAGAGGCAGAGAGAGAGCAAATGAGAAAATTCAGAGGTTGCATCTGATATTGCATTTGGATTTTAGCGTCAAGAATGACATACGGTGGAAGATCATGAGGTCCATTGAGTCGGCTGTTCAATATGCATCGATCTTTGTTCGTACTGTCTTTTTGACTGTTCATACTTCTATTGACATGGCTGGTGTAGTTACTTAATCAAGTTGTGTCAAAAATTTGTTGAAAATTTTGATCCTTTATTATTTTTTTTTCGAGGGGTGCGAAAGGATACTATTGGAGTTCGTGATTGCTTGTCAATAGTCGCTTAAGTCATTTTATTATGGCTCTGAAGGTATTATTTTATCTTATTAAATATGGAGTGTCTAGTGGACAATCTGCCATTTTAGTTGTCTTTGAAGGCTCTACTTTGGTGGATGGAGGCAGCAAAACTTGTATGAGTTTCTTAGATGTTGCCCAGGCAAGTAAGTTTTGTGGCTATGGAAAACTAACTTCTTTTATGAGTATGTTATTATGGTTGTGGTTTGGGTGGTAGCTAGAAATTGGTGCCCCCGTTGTAGGTGATGAAATTTTCTAATGTAAGGATTTTTACATACAATTATGTGCGTGTAATGAGCGGGCAGTTTCTTCATTGGTGTTGCTGGTTGTAAGGGACCTGGAACTACTACTGGAGTTGGTACCCTTACAAGGAAGTCTTGTTTCACTATTGTGATAATGTCACCATGCTGAAACCTGGGCCACCATTTGGCATAGAATTGTCGGGTCAAATTAAATCCCACAATTTCCCATTGCCATTTGAGTATCCACGGGACTTTTGTACCTGCAAAGAAATATTAGTAATAAGGGTAATGGGGACTCCTGTTTACTAGGACGGTGCGTGGAATTACACGCACGACTTAGAGGAGGGTGAATAGGTTAATTAAAAAATTATCGATCGGAAAACCACCAATTTATAACCTAAAGGACCTCAAGTACTAAATTAATTAATTAAGCTTTTGAAACCCTTTTTCCTTTAAGAAGAATAAACTTTATGAATGAATGGATGATATGTGTATGCAATCAATAAACCCAACACTCCAATCAATCAAACCTCTGATCCCTCCAACAAATCAACTTATACAAAGCCCAATTTGATAAAGAAATTGAATGAAACAATTAAAGTGTTAATTCATCAAATATAGTGTGTGCTATTTCAAGTGTGTGTAAATTAAAGCAAGAATAAGAACCACAACACAAACAATTTTTATGCGAAAACTCTCTCGGGAAAAACCACAGAACCGATCTAAGTTCACCTAGCATCATTTACTTCTCCAAGGTCAAATTACAAAGATTTGAGTTTTATACGTTAACCAATTCGCCCATGGTTAGATGCTCTCTTTCTAGTCAATCTCTCCACTGGATATCACCACTAAACTCTTGAGTAAGTTTATTTGGACGCGCTCACCGCGATGAACCTTCTAAGCCTCGAGCAATCTTCACGAATCCTCTCCCAAGTCCCTCCGTATGCACAATCAATGTGGGTTTAGGTAGAACACCAAATAAGATATTCTTCTCAATTATGTGAAGTTGAATAAGAAGATTCAAGATGGCTTGGTCTTTGGATCTTATGTATTTAGGGTTATTCTTGGCTCTCTCTAGATATTTAGGAGGCTACTTTGAAGAGTATTTAAGAGTTATCCTAGGTTGGAAAGACTTTACCCTATTTATATCCTCGTAATTCAAGTAGAATTGGGGAAAAACGTCAGAGAGTGGTGGGAGGGCGATTGACACTTGAATAAGAAAATGATTCAATCCAGTCAAATGGAGTGGAGACCGCTTGAGGCATTTGAAGACCACTCGACCCTTTTGTAGAATGCTCAGCAGCCTGAGAGTAGTCTCCATTGCTCAACTTTCCAGCCAGCTTCTAATATTTCTTCAAGTGTTTAAACACCGCTCTAATCATAGGTAAGCGAGTGTATGCTGGGCACTACTGATTTTTAAGTTAGAAACTAATCAAAAACTTGACCTATTGAGCACCAAAGAGTGTTGCTCAAATAGAATCTGATATATGACTTAATCTACGTTTTGAAAACACATTTGATGTTTAGAAATCTATTTCATGACAAGGCGAAGCGTCATTCATGAATAATTTTAAATTCAAGCCGTATTCTAAAAATAAATCAAGGATTCTTAGGTATTTAGGTCATTATCTTGACCTAAGCTCTTAAAGGTGCATTGGAAAACTCTTGATTCGGCTTTAAAACATGAATGCCTCCCTTCCTTGAAGCTTTCGGAACTTAATATTTGAAGCATCATAAGTTCATAACTATGGACTTAGGTTGAGATCTACAACAAGACTTTACGAAATTAGCCAATTGCAATCAATTTCCTAACATGTGATATGCCTTCCTCTCCTTCCATTGTTACTTTTGAAGCTATAAACTTTTTGCTACCGAGTATTTGATGATTTTGCTTTTGTCTTCATCTTATTTAGGTTGCATGCTGGTTATGAGCCTAGACTTTCTATTATTAATCCCTAGGTATAATTCTCTTTTTTTTTTTCCTTTAGGCTCCCCTTCAAGAGATAAAATTTACATCGTATTCTCAATTTTATGTTGTCGATATGCTTTTATATTCTATATTTCATCATTCAAGATATCTAAAAATAAAATCTACTTCTGAAGAAATCCTGGCATACCTCTTTTTCTCTTATATGGGCACCATATAGAATGTTCCAATAGGCCATTAGCGACAGAGTAAGCTTTCTAGTTATGGAAATGTAAACCTTGTACAGGTAGTTTTGTTCAGTTGTAATGTGAGCATCATTAATTTCTTTTATGTCTTTTTTCCACACCCTTTGCTCCTCAATGATTTATTGATGTACTAACTCTCTGATACTTAGGTGTCGGAGAGTCAGGGAAGTCAACTATATTTAAGCAGGCAAGACTTCACACTAATGTTTTTATTGCGATCATAAACCTTTTATCCTTCCTGTACCTGTATTCACAGGCCAGTTAAATATCTTGTTTCACATTATATGCATACAGATAAAACTTTTGTTTCAAGCTGGCTTTGATGAGGCAGAGCTAAAGAGCTATATCTCGGTCATCCATGCCAATGTGTATCAGACAATAAAAGTATGCAATACTTCAAAGGGTGTGTTGGTTATTTCCCTATTCACAATATATAAAATTCTTTAGCACCAGCTGCTTGATATTGGTTAGAATCCTTGTCTTAGAATTGGAGTGAGAAGGGTGGGAAATTGTAATGAGTGCTAATTTGATATGTTTGATCAGATATTGCATGATGGGGCACAGGAATTGGCTCAAAATGAAACAGATTCCTCGAAGTACATTATATCTGCTGAAAATAAGGTGTCAGTTTTACTCTTCATTGGCTATATACTTTTTGGTTCTCCTTTTATTTAAAAAAAAAAATAGGAACCCACAGTTTTTAGTTTTAACATATTTCCTTTCCATAAAAACCATACAATCAATGCATACTCTTCCTCTAATAAAATAATTTTGCTTACTCAATCCTGTGTTTGGTGAGGATCTGCTTTTGGGATATTATAAGATAAATTTGTATCAGGAAATTGGAGAAAGACTTTCACAAATTGGAGGCAGGTTCGATTATCCCTGTCTCACTAAAGAGCTTGCGCAGGAGATAGAAACTCTTTGGAAAGATGCTGCCATACAGGTAATGCCAGCTTAATGTGGGTGATCTCAGTTGACTAATTTTCATTGGTTCTATACTCCTAATTTATGTTTATTCAATGAGTAATTAGTGATTTTCCGCCTAGTTTTTCTCTAAGATTGAAATCTTTTATCGTATTCTATGTGAAGCATTCATGTTTAACTGTGACTTTTACTGCATGTAGGAGACATATTCTTGTGGTTATGGACTCCAAGTTCCAGATTGTGCCCTTATTTCATGGAAAATTTACAGAGATTGTCTGACGAAAATTATGTTCCGACAAAGGTATCTGAACTCACATTTGTGATATCCCTGTTTTGTTTCCTTGTGCTGTCTAAAAAGATAAATTAAATGTGCTAGCAGATGACAGTTTGATGTTTTTAAATTAATGAACTAGCTCCATACTAGAATATTTGTGCTGAAAACGTGATAAATGGTTCCTGGTCCTTTTGTGCTATTTAACTTTGCTAATTCTTATGAACTTATTGAAGAGTCTTTCGGCTTTAATTTAATAGAATGAAGTTTTAATTCTCAGAAATTTTTGTTAATATCAAGACATGCACTTTTACTTCTTCCATCTTGCTAGTTCTATATATTCAAGTAGCCATTTGTTGACCTCATCTCATTCGGATCTCTTGAACTTTTGTGTACCATTACTAATAACTTAATTGAGTCATTGTTGAGACTTTTTTGCTGGAAATAGAGTATTCAAACTGGTTAGTTCCTGGGTTCCATCCATCCTCGTGAATTCTGCCAATCTTTTGGTAACTGCAAACATAGGGGATTGGTGAAAAGAAAAATTTTAAAAATCATATCACGCTGTTTGTATGATTCTTCCTTTTTGGGGCTACACCCATGTGGAATGTGGTACTTATCAGTGAAAAAGAGAAGGCAATGCGTTGACGCTGGATTTACCATCTAATGGAGAAGATACTATGAAACAAATTTTGGATTTCACATCCCAATATGCACCATTGTTATTTGTATGGAATTTTGTATCCTTTTTGATATGGCAATGCTTTCATGGTAATCCCGCTTAAGAATACACCTCTTATAATTACAAGGATTTGCAATGGAACTTAGTGAATTTGAAATGATTTTAACCCGTTTTCTAAGAATTCTCGTTTGCTGCCTTTTCTGACCAAGGTTTGGTTTGGCTTAGTAGGCTCCACTTCGATGCTGTGGCAGAATGCCATTCACTGTAATTTAAGTTGAAAACCACATCTATCCAAGCATTATGGTCATGGGTAAAGGACATACAAATCACAAATTATTAACTATAAAGGTTTTGTAATCTGTGATTTGTTTTAAACTGTTCCCCCTCATTACATATATAAAGAAAAAAGGTAAAAACAACAGAAAGGGGGCCTTAGAAAGAAATCCATACACAAATTGACACACACATAGTGTAGGTGGGATTAGCTACTCTACACCACAGTTTCCTGGATTACGCTATTTGTAGGTGTTGAAGGAATGGCTTTATCCATGAGCTTCTGTGTGTTTATTTGTTTGCAGGAGGATGTTCTTTATGCCAGGGTTCGCACAACTGGTGTTGTAGAAATCCAGTTCAGGTCAGTGTTGCGTGTGTTTGCAATGTGTATCATTCCCTTTAGTTTGTTGCTTAATTACTTATTCCTTTCATTCTCAAAATTTGGAATTTAATGGCTGCTCTGGTGATATCATACTATCCTTATCAGTTATTTGTCTGTTAGCCATTGGATTCATGGCTAACATGTCGTTTCCCACCTCAAGATGTCAACGTATTCTCCTTTGTTTTCATATTTCCCTCGTAGCACCTTCAATTTGGATGACAAATAGCTCTCGCATCACCTTTGTTGTATTACATTTTGGATGACTTCCTTTATACAGCTGGGGTCGCAAAATTAGTCACCTATGCACTCGTTTGGCACTTTTAATTCCATGCAGGACTGGTAGGATATCCTTGAATGTGTCAGTTTATCAAGTACATTTTCCAGTAATGGATTGATTGGTTGGGTTTTCACCATGATGCTTTATCTTGTATCAGTTCTTATGTTAAACTATCTGTTTCTACCACCTAATTCATTTTTAATCTTAACCTACTTGTTTTTCTTCTGCCTTCAACTTGACCCGAACTAGTCGATGTGCAATCATTATACATTCACTTGACCTCCCCATCTGCACCACCTCCTGCCTTTTGGTGCTTACCTCTAGCTTCTTATGAACATATTTCCTTCTATTCTTTTTTGTCTGCTGATCTGTTCTCAACATCCTTAGTAGTGCTCCTTATAAAATTGTACTTCACACATTCATTCATGTTTCTCTAGGTAATTCAATTGAGAACTTAGTAGCCATTGTAATCTGTGCAGCCCAGTTGGAGAGAACAAAAAAAGTGGGGAAGTATATCGACTCTTTGATGTTGGAGGCCAGAGGAATGAGAGAAGGAAGTGGATTCATCTATTTGAAGGTGTCACAGCTGTGATATTTTGTGCTGCCATTAGCGAGTAAGATTTCTGTTGCTCTGATCTACCAGTTACATCACCAAATGTATTTGTGGTCATCAATTTAATTAAGGTTTGAAGCTTAGCACTTCCTTAGACAGTGTTCTTGAATATAATCAAACCAACAATTCTCATTGAGTTTACCTATTCTGCTGCTAGAGAAATTTACATGTACGGTGTTAAGGGAATCTGGTGCACAATGAGTGGGCCCAATTTTCCACCCTTAATCGCTGATGATCTTGACAATAGAGTGCAATAAAGAAACATGATTGCCCACCTCAGATAGTTGGGATAAAGGCTTTGTTGAGTTGTAGATTCATTGATGACCCCGACGACAGTCACCTAAATGATCTGTTACCCTTATTGTGTTCCAGGTATGATCAAACATTATTTGAAGACGAAAACAAGAATCGAATGATGGAGACAAAGGAACTCTTTAATTGGATCCTGAAGCAACCATGTTTTGAGGTTTTTATCAATGAAAAGTGCTACTTGCCTTTGTTTCTTGATTGTGGAAATTTCGTTCACCTCATGTTTATTTTGGCTGTTAATACAAGATTTTTTATAACTATGTTTTCAGTTATTGATACAGTTTTTGCAACTTATTCCTATGGCTATTGTGCAGAAGACATCCTTCATGCTATTTCTTAACAAGTATGATATATTCGAGAAGAAGGTTCTGAAAGTAAGAGCAAATATATATGTAAATGTTTAGTTGTTTGAGGACTTCTTCCCTGAAATTTAGATCTGGTTTTCTATTTGTGTAGGTACCACTGAATATTTGTGAATGGTTCAAAGATTATCAGCCAGTTTCGACAGGAAAACAAGAGATTGAGCATGCTTATGAGTAAGTATTTATATATTTACAAGTTTCTGGTGCCATCCCTTAAGTTGAAGGGAAAATGAGCAAAAGACAAAACATATGGGACTGTTTGACTACTTAAAAAGCTGGAATGCCTTTGTAACAAAAGACTAAACTTTGAGAATGTTTGGCCATTGAAAAAGCTGGAATGCCTTGTCAGCCCTCCACCTTGCTCCCCCAAGTAGAAGTGAAAAAGGTTATTATGTAGATAATTCCCTGACTTGATCAAAGAGATTCTGTCATGAGGCTCTCGCATTCACAATTTTCTTCTGAATTTCATTTTGTAGTATATTTTTCCGAGTGATACTGCTATGTAGCTGTATTATTTGAAGTTATTTTGACTATAATGCCAAGCTGAATGTAGGAACTAGAAAGGTAGTTGGAATTTGATATTGAAAAGAAATTTACTTAAAATGAACACTACTTTTACAAACTTAATTTTTGACACTATGATTGTTTACACCCAAAAGATGCAAAATTAGAGGGTGACACGTGGAAGGGATCCGACAAACATAAAGAAGTCTGTGAGAGTCCATGATTAACAAAACGGTTAAAGAAATTGGATTCTTAGAATCTCAGGAAACAAGGAAGTGTGATATCATGAGCTGCCAGTTATAGATGATTTAGCGCACATTCACACATTTGAGGGACAAGGCTATGATCACGGTAATGACCAAAAAAGATGGGTCGACGGTGAAGGCCATTTCTATAAATAGCAGAGGTTGGCCATTGAGACAGGATTCATGATCAAACACACAAACTCTTAACAGAGTCAGCCTACCTTATACCTATTTATTGTTTTTGAACAATTTTACTTTTCTTGTAATCATCACTTTGATGATCTTTACTCCTTTTATTTAAATGTTAAGTTCAATACTCGTTTCGTCTTCCAGATTTGAATTCAGTTTTCTTGCTACTTTTTATTCTCGATGTTCTTTTTATGGTGTAGTTCATTACGCTTTTATTTGGAAAATTATTTACAGTCCTTGAACCATAAGATATAGAAAAGAATTTAGAGGTAGCTTTACTCCTTGTTACAATCGCTTGAACAGTCACGATTTTAGATCCTTATGCCGGTTCGAGTAGGTAAGATTGTATGGGTTTGGATTTTAAGTCTAATCAGACATTGGCACGCCTATAATCTGAAAATATGCCAAACATATTTTTTGGCATGCCCAGTGGGACCCTAAGAAGTAGTATGACGAATTCTTGAGGGAAAACTAGTATGACGAATTCTTGAGGGAAAACCAAAGTTGGCTCATCAGAAGTGTCTCCAGTGCATGAGATTGTTGAAGAAAGTAGGCTTGACATTTCCAACATGCAAGAGGAGTTGTCTTCACTCAGGGGGCAAGAGAACCATGAATCTGAGTCAGAGCCGGAGGCCTCAATCAAGGTTTTGTCGCATGAAGTTTCTCAACAGGTCTCCGGGTTTATTCAAGGCCAGGAGGATTTGATCGGAGAAGTATTTGGCTGCACCAGACAAGCATTGGAGCAGCTCGCTAATAGTTTGAACCGTCCAGGGGCGTGAGACAACTATTGTTTCCCCCTGTATACGTAGTTTCGGTTGAAGCACCACAACTAGTGCTTTCCTCGTATGTGCCATAACATATGGCACAACAGGTCGGGAATGGCCACAGACGGGAGTCACGGAACAACCACTCTTTTTTAGGACAAAGTGGCCCCCAATCCCGAGGTTGGGGGGTAAAGGAGGTAACTGTCAATTGTTTTTCCGGCAACACCTCAAGTGGTTATGAACAGAGACCAACTGGACGAGGTCATCTAGGAACATGTCAGCCTCGCTATGAGGTAGATCACTAGGCTAACATATTAAAAATCATATCTCGACTAGGTAGATAGGGATTATGAGTATCCTTAGGGATATAAGGTCTCGCTATTCGCCAAGTTTTTGGGAGAAGGCTGTCAATCAACCATGGAACATATTGACGGCTTGACTGAAGGCATTCTACTGCTAATTGTGAAGCCATGGAGTATTCGCTATGTTTTTGTGAAGTCATTCTACTGCTAATTGTGTGGTGTTTTGGAATGCCATTCAGGACGGCTTGACTGAAGGCGATTTGATCTTCGGGGATAAGGGGAAGCTGAAGATGGGGATTGATACAGACTCTTTCTAGAAGATATCAGTCATTTACATAGTGGAATTGGGGTGGTGGAAGACCCCGTGAAAAAAGGTAGACTTGGGCTAGGATAGATCGACTAATGACGAGAAGCTTAGGAGAGAGAAAGACAATATTATTTAGGATGAGTTGTCAGAGGAAGACTCTGGGGGTAAGCGGTATATTTCGCCAGGTATGCAAGAGCAACTTGACATGGTCAAGAATGAACTATACCCCAGATGCAAAGTCTTTTACGGGATCGTTCCAGATTAAAAAGAGTGAGAAGAATGGTCCAAAAGGCTACGAAAGAGGTGGCATTACAAAGGTACTCATTGGGAGCGGCTAGGAGAGTGGTTGTTGCCCAAGCAGGATTACGAGGATCGATTTGGCAAGTTCATGCGGCCAAGCTATAAAGAGCATGGTAGGGATATATCGGAACCCCAAGGGGTCGACAAGGGCCAAGATACAAGGAATTCGCCACAAGATTGACGCTTGATCAACTCATCAGAGCCTATGGTTATCGGGATCAACCCAAAATGGTGAAACTAGTATTATTGTTGGAGGGCCATTGGTACATAGCTAGGGATGTCAGTGGGACCGAAACGGGGGCGGAGGGTGTAGTCTCCATCCCTGTACCCGCTAAAAAAATTTTTGTCCATTCTCGGTTTACCCCCGTTAATAGGTATAGTTTTCATTCCCATTCTCGTTTGCGAGTAAATTTTTAATCTCTGTCCCGTCCCCGTTTTCCTGTATCTGCCCATGTCCAAGCTCAAGCCCAAGCCCAAGCTCAAGCTAATATAATTTAAAATTCTAAATTAATCCAACATTTTAAATAATCTAACAACATTCTAAATAATCTAACACAACATAATATAGTATAACATATTCCAACATTACACAAACAAAAAATGTCCAAAATATTACTTGAATATTTGTAATAGATAAACTTTTCTGCCATATAGCTTCACATCTGTAATTTAATAAAGAAAATAAAACATAAAAAATTATAATAATTGCATAAAAAATAGTGTTTATTAATAAAATTGATTGGTTGAATTGAAAAATTATCAACTTAGTCATCTCTTAAAACCATCGGGGGTGGTAGAATCTACTTCTTCAATATCATGTTCCTATATCATTAAAAAAAAAATAAATTAGATTCTTTCAAAGAGAAATTTTCGACTAAAATGATATACCTCATCATCAATATCCAGATCTTCCAATAATGTGTAGCTTTTTAGGCCCGTCGAAGTAGATGAACCTAACAAAAAAAAATAATGCATTAGTCATACTTTACCCCTCCAAAAAAAATTATGGTACACATACAAATAATATTTTATTACTTCATTCTTCAGCCCATAACCAATTTTGAGAGCACATTAAAGCCTCTATTGTAGTTGGAAGAAGTCTATTGCGATGTGGAATGATCACCCTCTCAGTTGTGCTAAAAGAAGATTTCGAGGCAACGGTAGAAACAAGAATAACAAAAGATCTTTAGCAATCATTTGAAGTAGAGGATACTTGAAACCACTTGTCTTCCAAAAAGATAGTATATCAAAATATGAAGTTTTTGGTATCATAGCATCTTTTAAGTAACAATCCAACTCAGACCTCCTACGTGCTTTTGTTGTGTCTCTTGTTTGTATAAACTTATTAAAATTAGAAAGATCATCAATTAATGGGTATTTGAAATCAATATCTGATTGAAGAGGGGGAGAAGAAGGCTGTGCTTCATAATCACTTCCTTGTCTCGCTTCATATTCGCCTATCAATTTCAAGCAAAGTTTCTTAATACTCATCACTTCATTTAAAGCTTCCACACCTCCATACATTTTTTCATAATAATACTCCAAAATTTTCAACTTATATTGTAGATCTAAAACAATGGCTATTCTCATAACACCATGAATCACACTCCAATATTTGTTAAAACTTTTTCAACATATTCAAGGTCATATCTTTTATCATGTTTTTGGGGCTTTGAAGCCACTTAGATATTTCTACTTTTATCACACAAATAGTTAGAAAGTATACATTGGCAGTAGGATACTTTGTACCAGAAAACAATTTTATTGCACTCTGAAACAATTTCAATTTTTCACAAATCTCTCTTGCTCCTTCCCAATCATCTTCAGTTGGACAAATCTTGTAATGAGAATCTCGATATTTCAAGTGAGCAAACACATCTTTATATATCAAATTAGTTTGAAGTATGAGAAAAGTAGAGTTCCATTGAGTCTTAATGTCAAGAGCAAGTTTCTTATTACTTGGAATATGTATCTGATGAGTTGCCTCTTCAAATTTTTGCACTCTCTTGGGAGATACTGTCCAATAAGCAACACTACCACGAATTCTTTCATTATCATCTCCAATCACATTCAAACCATCTTGGACAGTTAAGTTGAGAATATGTGCGCAACAATGCATATGGAACAAACGACCATGCAATATTAGTGAACCAAATGGAAGTTTATCCAATAAAATAGCCACAATTGCATCATTAGTGGTACAATTATCTACGGTCAAAGTTATCAACTTTCTATCAAAGTTTCAATTGAAAAAGCAATCCATCAAACACTCCACAAGCACTTCCTTGGTATGTGGATAAGGCACATATAAAAATTTAAAGATAATATAAATACAAAAGAAAGATCATTAGATATTTAAAATTAATAATAGATGTTAATGAAAGATCATTAGATATTTAAAATAAATAACACATGTTAATGAAAGATCATTAGTACCTTATAATTTGACTTTGCAATGTCCAAGAAT